GGCAGTTAGGTCAAAGGACGTGGTCATCATGGGTGACCTCAATTTTCTAGACATCTGCTGGGAAGAGCAGTCAGCCAGGTCTGACCGCTCACGTAGGTTCCTAGCCGAGATACAGGACCTCCATCTAACCCAGGAGGTGCACAGCCCCACCAGGGGAGATGCCTTGTTGGATCTGATCCTGGCCACAGGCGACGACCTGGTGAGGGGTCTGTGGGTGCTCAACCACCTGGGAGACAGTGATCATCGCCTGCTGGAATTCACCATCCAGCGCAAGGTCGCAAAGGCCTGCAGCAAGGCTGCAGCCCTGGATTATAAGAGGGTGGATTTCAATGAGGTAAGGAGAATAGTTGGGGAGACACTGAGGTCCCAGAGGGGAGGGGAGTTGGGTGTCCAAGAAGAGTGGTCGTTGCTTAAGGAGACAATCCTCCAAGCCCAAAGGGAGGTAATCCCAACATGGACCAAAGGGGGCAAGAGGGCGCAAAAGCCCCCATGACTCACCAAAAGCATATAGGAATGTCTCCTAGCTAAAAAGGAGGCGTACGCCCAATGGAAGGGAGGGGCCATCACCAGGGAGGACTATACCTCGGTTCCTCGGGGCTGTAGGGGGGTGGTCAGGAAGGCCAAGGCAGAGATGGAACTGGGACTAACTACCCAGATCAAGGACAACAAGAAGTCCTTTTTTAAATACATAGGGGGCAAAAAGAAGGTACTGGGTAATGTGGGGCCTCTGCAGGACATGCTAGGAAATCTGGCTGTCGCACCAGACAGCAAAGCTAACCTATTTAACAATTTCTTTGCCTCCATTTTGCTGAGCAGGGCCCAGGTCATCCCCCCCATTGGGACCCCCGTAGGCCCCAGGGGAGGTGCACCCAGGCCTAGGGTCAGAGAGGACCTAGTCAGGGAAATTTTGGAGGGACTGGACGTATTTAAGTCAGCAGGTCCTGATGATCTCCTCCCCAGAGTGCTGAGGGAATTAGCAGAGGTCATTGCGGGACCCCTGGCACGGATTTATGAGCACTCATGGTGCTCTGGCATTGTGCCAGAGGACTGGAAAAGGGCAATGTGGTTCCCATTTTCAAAAAAGGGAGGAAGGAGGACCCAGGAAACTATAGACCAGTTAGTCTTACCTTGGTCCTGGGTAAGCTTTTTGAGAGAATTATCCTGGTGCAAGTTCGTGAGGGGCAAGCAGGGGAGATTTTGCTTAGGGGCAACCAATGTGGATTCATTAGAGGCAGATCCTGTCAGGCCAACCTGGTGGCCTTCTATGACCAGGTCACAAAATCCTTGGTTCTGCAGGGCTCAGTCCTCGGGCCTGCGCTGTTCAACATCTTCATCAGAGACTTGGACAAGGGGGTAAAAAGCATCCTGTTCAAATTCGCCAATGACACTAAGATGTGGGGAGAAGTGGGCACGCTAGAAGGGAGGAACATGCTGCAATCAGACCTGGACAGGTTATGGGGTGGGCGGATGAGAACAGGATAGGTTTCAACACTGACAAGTGCAAGGTACTGCACCTGGGGAGGAAGAACCAGCAGCATACCTACAGGCTGGGGAACTCCCTTCTTGTCAGTGCAGAGGCAGAAAAGAATTTTGGAGTCATTATTGATGCCAAAATGAACATGGGCCAACAGTGAATGGACACGGCCAGGAAGGCCAACTGTACCTTGTCATGCATCCATAGATGCATCTCAAGCAGGTCCAAGGACGTGATCCTCTGCCTCTATGCGACACTGGTCAGGCCGCAGTTGGAGTACTGAGTCCAGTTCTGGGCACCGCACTTCAGGAGGAATGTGGACGACATGGAGAGGGTCCAGCGGAGGACCACTCGCATGATCAGGGGGCAGCAGGGTAGGCCCTACGAGGAGAGGCTAAGGGACCTGAACCTGTTCAGCCTCCACAACAAAAGGCTGAGGGGGGATCTAGTGGCCGTTAACAAACTAGTCAGGGGGGACCAGCAGGCATTGGGAGAGTCCCTGTTCCCCCGAGCACTACCAGGAGAGACAAGAAATAACAGTCACAAGTTGGCAGAGGGTAGATTCAGGCTAGATATCAGGAGGCACTATTTCACTGTCAGGGCGGCTAGGATCTGGAACGAATTTCCAAGAGAAGTGGTGCTGGCTCCTACCCTGGGGGTCTTTAAAAGGAGGCTGGCCACAAATAAATGTAGGTGGAATATTAGAAGAAAGTATCTAACCATCAGAGCAATAAGGTTCTGGAGAAGTTCCCCCACAGGAGTCAGAGGAGCAAAAATCCAAACTAGTTTTAAAATGGGAGTTGCATCAGTTAGAAGGATCTGAATTGCTGAATTTGAATAGGATTATCTGAGTTGCTTTCAGGGCTGGATCCAAGATTTTGTAGAGGGGGAAAGGGTAGGGGGGAGGTCCAGGACCAGTGACTGGCATTGTAGAGGTGGCTGCACTCTTGCTTCCAGCTCCCATCCCTAACCCTAACCCATGAGAAGACTATGCAATGGAAGCAGCAGCCATGGAATTTTTCTAAGTCTCTGAAGTAGATAAGACTTCCTCCCTGCCTTTCTCTTCCATGTTCAGTAGCACGTCCCCTCCCTTCCCATTACCCTCTCCCCCATCAGCTACCGTCCCCTACTGAACCCAGCTTCCAATTCAGGTCAGCTGGAGAAGCTCCAGAGCTCCCTCTACTCCCAGGTTAGCTGGGGACAGTGGTAGTTAGTGGCAGGATAGAGGGTGTTGGGATGAATGGGAGTGGAGGGGCTGTGGCCCTGGGAGGTGGGGTGGGGAATAAGAAGGGATTCTTACCTGCTTCAGGGACTTTAAAAAGTCCCTGGATGCTGCTTCTATGGTGTCATCTGAAAAAGGGGTATGACTGCACCACAGCACCCCCTTTGGATCTGTCCCTGTTTACTTTAAAAATTGGACTGGAATTGATTCAAGAGATGCTTCCAATCTTGTTGCTATATTCCCATTCCTCATTCGTAATAGATATACTCTTCTTAAATGCTGCTGCTACTAAAAACCAACCAAGTATACTTCCAAGTTTTCAAGAGGACACACTTTATCTGGTGGAGCAAATCATCTCTCAAATAGGCACACGTGTAGATGCCTGCCCAGGGTGGGTTTACTCCCAAGTAAATTATGCCGGAGTAAACCCATCCAGCAGCATTTGCACATGTATAAACAGATTGGATCTAAGAAATACCTGGATCCATTATCATTTCTTCCTCCCTATAGAGAAAACTTTCAGGAGCCTAAATACTGGCTAGCTGCTCAGGTCAAAGAGAATACCTCTATTTACACAGTAAAAATACTACAATTAAAGTCTCCTGCAACCAAGAGTAAAACCTGAGCTCTGAATATATATATTTTAGCAGTTTTTTCCAACAGCTCTGGAAGCTCTACAAACCTTCATGATTGGTACCAATGATTGCGTTACATCAGGTTGCTTGGAATTAGCTGTTATACAGTACAGAAATGAACAGCTAAAGCAAACACACACATGCATACAAAATTTGGCCGCTCTTTGTATTTGCCGTTACAGTGACTAACACCAAAGATATATTATTACAGCAAGAGGGGTGAATGCCATGCATGTTATGAGTCAGTAACATATAAGCACTCAATGATGTAAATCTCCATAGAAAGAATGAGTTACAGGGCTTGGCCCCAGAGATACCAAACAGTAATTACACCGAAAAAATTATTAAAAGAATGATGGGACCCAGTCTCTTTCTTCTATCTGGCTGGGGACTGACAAGAAGCTAGTTGTGGCTAAACTTGTCTGAGGTTCCTCTGGTTCATGGCAGAACAACTGTATGAGAGGAAAGTTAACACTATGTCTACCTAATTAGAACAGGCAGTGAGGGCCTTTCCCCAGGCAGAAGTTTCAGGAGCTTAAACTGGAGCAGGGAACAGAGTGTGTTTATACAGTTATGTTATGTTACTACTGCAGAGTCAAATCAGATATTTTAGTGGTGCACCTAAACTGCAGCAACAACATGTACCCGCTGGCATGTTGTTGTTACTACCTCCACCTGCCTGCACTTTCCAGATCCAGAATGTACCAGTGAGGCCACTCTGGGGTATCCCTCTTTGGCCCCTTGGTTTCCAGGGAGTATAAAAGCAGCTGCTGGAATGACCCCAGACCGGCCTCACTGGGGTGCTTGGAAGCTTGGAATGTGCAAGCAGATGGCCATCCATGCAGGGACATGTTGTCACTCTCTTGAGTGTTGACCTTAATGTCCCTCCACTGGTATAGAGACTCTCCCCCATCATTTGAGTTTAATTATGTTTACAACCAAAGTTAGTGGCCTGTCAGAAAGCTGGCAGCTAAAACCTTATTAGTGGGATATTTACTTGGATTAGGTAGCCCCTCCCCCCCACACACTTTACTATGAAAACAGACAAGTTCACTCAGAATTCACTGGGAAATAATCACAGAATAGTTCATCTCATTGAAATACAAAGAACCACAGAATATGTCCATGGAATCTGAACACTCCTCGTGGCTAACTGCAGCTTCTATGAGGGCATGGTAACTCAGATATGACTTTGCAGTGGTTGCGCACACCTGGGATAAGCTTGGTGCTCAGATCTGGGAGTTATTCCCCCAAGCTAACTCTGAAGTGAACCAGGAGGGACAGTGACTGCGAGAGCTTCTTTATTGTGGAAAATCAGTGCCTTAACAGAGATTTTTGTATAAGGACGTGAACTCGTCTCCTTTTTCGAAAACTTCTGTTTGAAGTAAGCCACACATACATGCATTTTTCAAATAAATTACACTGGAATATAACCTGACCTTGTATCACTAATTTTTTCCAATAGGAATATAACCTATAAGGCCTAAAGGTCTGCTTTCATTTGTTCAATGGGGAACAACAAAGACAACTGCAAAAATAAAATTAATGGATCTATTTTGTACCAAAACCCCTTTTATATGGGGCTCTTTGAGAAGGTATGTGTGTGGAGTCCATTCCATTCACCACGAGGTCTCATCATACAATCACATTCCAAATATACTGTACATACCATTTTTTCAAAGTTTACTAGACTGTCAATGAATGTCTTGTTTCCCTCATGAGTGAATGTCATATCTGTATAGAAATAAAAGCCACAGTCCTATAACTAATTATATCATGGCATATCAAATAACATAATACTAAAAACAAAATAATACTGTACCTCTGTCTCTTCAGTTACAACACATACAAAACTCATTTAGAAAAAATAAAGCTTTTATTGATGGGAAAGTATGAAATATTTCTTATTGAACCTAGTGACACTGGAGCATAATGCCCATGTTTAGTAAAAGCAACCAACCTTGTTTCATGATTTTTAAAGGAAAAGCAGATCACATTAAGATTGAATTATACTTTGTCTTGCTCTTTTTTACTCTTACTCTTAAAATATTTGTCAAATATGTTTCAAGTTTATAAATCTGGTAGCGTCCTATCTTACCTTTGATAAGTAAGGGCATGAAGGGAATTATTGGAGGGTCCAGTTTTGCTACAGTAAGTCTGTAGGCCCTATGGTTTCTTGATGGATCCTTAAGGGAAAAAATCACAGTTATAAACACTGACCCAAACCTGAATTAAATGTACATCAGCAATTTGATATAGGTTTTGTTAAAGATAATTATTTTCTCCTGTTGCTTGAATAAGTTCAGCCTCTAAACATGAGCAATTTCCCTTTCAAATGGCAAGGGTATAGATATGTTTACAAAGCAACTTATTTGTAAAGGAACCTCTTATTTTTCCTCCTTTTTATTAACCTGAAGGTGCCCCCTCCCGAATAGTGAAGCACAGTTGGGTACTGCTTTTAAAAATTCTGGCTGGAAAATATAATTTCCTCTATGTACCATGGAAAAAACACATTGTAAAGCTTTTCTAAGTTTCCCAGATTAACTTTATGAGGTACATAAGTTCATTCCAAGTAGGTCCCTAAGAGTATAATTTATTAGTCATACATGCTTGTTTTAGCAGAACTAAAATGGGATCATAAATGTCTTAAAGTCAAACAAGGACATATAAAATGTTCTGAATCAAGGAATTCAAATCAGTTACTTGGGGCTCTTGTACACGTGAATGGGGTTTTATCCCTTGGGGTTGCATTCTATGCCCCCTAAATGGAAACGGTGAGTTGTTAATTGAAACAGTGGGTTTTATTTTTGCATCACTGTATATATGTTATTGTCCTGGCAGCTGCAGATGTCTGCTAAAGGCAGAAGCAGCAAGGGGCCTGATCCATTTTGGGTTTTTTGGGTTGAACCTGCCCACCTCTCCTGCAGGTGGGGGGGTGCTATTAATTTGTGCCATTAATCTGTCAGCTCACCCCCCTGGCTGTGGGACAGGTGGGCAGACTCCACAGAAAAAAAGAATTGGCCCCTTCACATCAGCAGGCTCCTGTGGCTGGCAGAATACCTGGGGCTGCCCAGCAATGGACTGCCCCTGAAGCAGTGTGGGGAGGTTGCAGGAGGGCAGCTGGGTGTGCTGGCAGCTGGAGAAGGCAGGAGGGATGGTGCATGGGGTCCAGGTAGGCTTGGGGAAGCTAGCAATCTGCATCCTGGTGGCCCTGTGCCCTGTGCACCATCCCCCTGCCTTCTCCAGCTGCCAGCACACCCAGCCACCCTCCTGCCACCTCCCCATGCTGCCCCAGGGGCAAGCCAGCCCATTTCTGGGTGGCCTCAAGCATCCACTTGGCTGCAGGAACCTGTTAAAGCCAGAAGTGATGATCCTTTTTTTCTGTGAAGCATGCCCACCTCTTCCATGGCTGGTTGGTGAGCTGACTAGTGGCTGCAATGTTCCAAGTTGCAATGATGCAAACTCAGCTACATTGGGATGTAGCTTAGTTTGCAATGATGCAAACTCATTTTAAACCCCCCAAACTCATGTACGTGTAATGTGTGACACCACTAAGCCACACAAAGGGAAATTTTCAGCATGTATACAAGCGCCTTTGGAAACTTGAATTAGTTCAGACTGTGCACAGAAAAGAGGATCTATTGCTAATCACCATTAAGCTTTCAAACTCTGCATAGATCTTCTTGAACTTGCTTGGAAGTTTCTGTTAATAAAACAAAAAACAAGCCGGTGTTATTTAATTTGCATCCAGTGTAAAATTTTTCTATAAATGCTAGATTCTTTTGAACAACCCTATATCAGGAAAGACTGTTCTTTTGGCAGATATTTTCAACAATGTGCTAATCTAAAATACAGCACATCTCCTAGCAACCAGATTATAAATAGAGATGGGACCAACTATGAAACCTGGATCCCAATTTAGACCCAAACCTAAACTTACCCACTTAGAGATATTCAGATTCAGATTTTGGTTTGAGCCATTACAGGGATAAGCTGCTGTCAAGTAATTTATATTCAGAACTGGATCCAAAATGCAAGGTAACATTGCAGTTTGGACCCATCCCTAAATATAGCTTATTTTAACCAAAATAATTTATAGATATCTGAGGCTTTACCAGATTATTCTTATTCTCAGCTAAACTTGCCTATGAATAGGGGTCTACAATAGATAAGGAGGTGGTCAGCTGATTTCATGGGGAGACCATGGGGCCAGCTATTATATTCACAGACTGATCATGGCACTCGCCCCATGCCTCTGACTGGCCGAGGGCTCCCAGTGACCCTGCCCCTTCCTGCT